TACAAAGTGGCAGATGGGTGGCCTTTAGACAGGTTCTTCAATGCAGTAATGGATCCAGTGGGGGATCCCGGGGGCTCAGGCCCCCTCCCTTTGCAAAAAAAAAAATGGGTAAAAAAAATGCAACATTAATTTTACCTTAAAGAAAGAAGATACCCCCCTGAGAAAAAAAAAGTATTTTTGTTTTGTTTTTTGCTCGAAGGGGGGGGGGGTGTTGCATTAACAAAAAATAGAGCTCCATACCCCCCCCCCCCCCCAGTTGAACCAACAACAACAAATGGTACTCTTTACAAAGTTATCCTTATAAAGGCTGCTTTTTTGTATACCAACACATTTTCTCATTTTTAAATCCATTTATGGCTAGAAGATTAGATGCATGAAATGCTTTAAATCTTGTATTGTGTGATGAATTGTTGGAATATCTGTAAAATGTTAAAAAATTGCAAAATGATCTATGAAAAAAGTACTTCTGTTATTGAAAGTTTTTATTGTTGTGTGTGGTAAAGGCTTATAAAAAGCTATTTTTGTACGGTTGTTAGATTACATACATATCGTAGTACCAGTAGTTTAAATGTTTGAGATTCCAATTTTGTTCTTTAAAAAAGAGACATTTTCTTGTTTAAAAAAATGACAAGGTAATTTTTCAGTTGTATTTTAAATTGATTATAGCTAGTGAAGGTATAACTTATGCCTTTGACCATAGATATATATACATGTATATTGTGCACCGCCGAAGGTCATACCTGACATATTTTCTTTCAGAATTTGCCCTTCTGTAGGGCATACAACAATATGTTACATCATGTATTACACGTCATGTAATCGGCATCCACACTGTTTTTTTAAAGCTTAGTTTTGAACTGTAATATTTTACATTAAAAAGAATTATGAGAAGGAACTGTTGTTTTCCTGTGCATTATTATTTTTCTTTGCCCATATTCCTGTACTGTAGGCAGACTAGTTTAAGATACCAGTAAACAGTCCAATCTTTTCTGGAGCAGCTAGTGGCATCCTCCCTTGTGCCATCCAGTTTAAATCACCAATATTCTGTAACAAAATTATCTTAAAAATTAAAGGGGAAGTCTGCCCTGATATTAAGTTTGTTAAGCTAGAAGCAGAAAAATGAGAGAAACAAGTCAGTGAAATTTTGTTAAGGTGCCATTAATCAAACACAAATTGGCAACTCTGTGACGTATCTTTCGAGCTCCCCTCCCATTTGCCTTGTACTAAAAAAATCTATATCTTCCCTTCAGAAATGTTTTAATCGTACATATTCACCCTAAATATAGTTATTGCAAATATGTGTTTATACAACCCCTGTATGAAACAAATCTATTTTGTCATTAATAACTAAGAAATTGACAGTTCATAACAAATTCTGTACGGATCAAGTTGAAGACAAGCTCACAGGATACGTCACAATGTTGCCAATTTGCATTTCACTGATGACAAATTAAAAAATTCATAACTTTCCTATTTATAATCAGATTTTTCTCCACTTGTCACTGATTTGTTTCTCTCATGTTCTGCTTTTATTAAAAGCGACATGATATCAGGGTGGACTTCCCCTGTACGTAATCGACTCATGATCTTACTTAATCAAACGTAATCGTAACATGATTTCGTTAAATGTTCTCTGTAGGTTTAGAAGCTTTATAAAACTCTTTTCCTTGTGACCGAGTAGACAAAGCACTATGTAATCTAAGGAGGGTAATTTTCACAACTCATTTCCTGTTTGACATATATATTCATTGACCTAGCTCTTTCACAAAGTGCACACTACACCGTGTGGGTCAAAAAAAAAGTTTACACCTAGAAAACTGCTAACTGTTTTAAAAATCATCTATGAAAAGTAAATTTTTATACACCTTATATGAAAGAGTGTTATATCCCAAATCATTTGGTATCATTTTTGTGTGGTTTGTGTTCAAGCTGTACAAGCTTAAGTCTTGAGCTTGATAGTCAGTAAGGATCTTGGCAGGCAACCCATAATGGACAATGAAATTATCCCAGAGTGCCTTGGTCACTGTGATACTACGCTGGTCGTTAGTAGGTACAGCAATAGCGTACTTAAAGAGATCAGTCATTACCAACATATTATTCTCAATACCTTCATCCTTTTTTTTCGGAAATAAGTCAGTTTTATAAAAGTTTGAGGCGATTTAGTGCCAACGCCCTTCTGCTTAACGCTTCATTTTTCAGTGACCTGAAATTCGAGCTAACGCCCTTCTGCCAGCCAGGCGATTACAGTTTGTTTTTTTTGTCCAAAAATTATATTTTATCTTTCCTTCTTCTTTTGACCCCCTTCTTTTTTTAAATCTCTCTCAAACAGCCGCTTGATTCTTTGATCTCCTCACTTTTATTCTCAATCGTTTCATGCTATCACTGGACATCTTTAAATCAGTTCTATAAGAAGAAAAGAAAAAACACATTTTTTGTCATTTGTTGCTTTTTAATCTTTATAAATAATGAGACTAAAACATGTAAAAACATTTTTAAATCTTTTCAAAATACTATACACATATAGTAAGGAATAACAAGGATTTTCATATAATGAGGTATGCATTTGAGGATACGGCTTGAATGACACCTTAATGACACCTTAAGTAAAGAAAACGTATTGGTGTTTGGAAGAGGAAAACATGTGTACAAAGGTTGCAATAAAAGTATATGAATAAATGATATGAATGTTTATACAACGTCCTAATTAAGCGAAATATGCATGATCGACCTTCGGCAGCTGCAGATGACATGTAACTGCCGACCCGATTATATTCCACCCACGAAGGCGGTATTATTACTAAGAAGATAACTGTGACATCAATTTTGTAAGTAAAATCTACGTTATCCGTATCCTTTTGTTTATTATTTGTTTCATGGCAAGATTAATTTTACGAGGATCATCGTTGAACGTTTTTCTTTCCTCGTGTCTATACAAGATTCGAATAGGTTTCGGAGAATAGCCGAGCTACCTAATCCTATTGTATTTGGTAAATCACAGGCTGCCGTGTAAAAAAATAAATACGCGTACCGGCTGTACGTGTCCCGGGCATTTTTTTTTTAATTTACAAGCAAGCGAATGGAACTTCACCTTTAATTCTAATATAATGAAACCGCTTGCAAAGAGTCTTACGAGATATACATTTGGGACGTGTGCATGATGTGCATGTGGTAAATTAACATTGAGCAATTATAAGAGGTGATCGAGGTCTACTAATTGTAATATGCAATTGCCTTATACTCTCTCAGAAAATTGTATTTAAAAAAAAAACATAATTACAACTCATAGAGATGGCAAAATTGATATCAATAGCACATAATTTCTGCAATATTCAATGTTAATGTTACTAGACGTGTATAATGTATAAATACTCAGGGGCGTCGCTCGACCTTTTTCAGTTGGGGGGGGGGGTGTATAGAGGCCACCGATTACCGACAAAACTAGCCATCAATTACCGACAAACGTCCCAATGTCTACAAATGTTACCCAATAAACCTGGGGCCGAAGGCCAAATTATTTTTCCTATGAACTATCTATAGTAGTTGCGTATATATACACATGGTCATTTTCCTCGACGACATAATATATAAGATTTATTTCGTCAACTTTTAGGGGGCGGTAGTGAGCACGCAAAGCGTGCGAATTCATTAAAGTAGATATTCATTGATTTTAAAAACTAACTTTATTTTCATTATTGCAAAGTTGAAACTTTGATTCGACAAGGTTATCAAAATTCAATACTTGATAACATTCGAAGTAATGATTATTATAAATTACAAAATGCTTAAATACAGCCCCGGCATATATAGCACCTGAAGAGCTCTCCGAACGCTGCTTAGATGCTTGAGGTCAAAGGATGGACATGATTTTGCACATGCACAAGCAGACGATGTCCCATGACATCTTACACATTTTCAGTGCCTGTTTTTTCATCTTTTCTTGAGTTCTTTCTCTTACTTCACTACCGCCAGGCTATAAAATGTATAATCTTTTGCCTCACTCTAAACCCCGCGCATGGTTTTATTTTGATGACAAATGCAGCGATACAAAAATAAAGGAATCTGTCGCTTGTAAACAAAATAAGACGCCATGGTATATGGGGGTATATTCAGCTGCACACACCGCGATATGTTCGACGAGCTAAAGATAAATAAAAAAAACACCTCTGTTATATTGTGTATTATGATGAAATATTTCGAATAGACAAGATGTGCTTAGTTTGTAGTAGTGTGTGGTATTATAGGCAGACAACTCATAAACTAAGCATAATATTTAACTTTGACCCTCCACTTTTTCGCTCGTGTGTAAATAAAAAAAATCGCGTACGTTAGGCAAATGGAAATCATACTGCATGGGAGTATATAGTGACAGGCGACCAGCACCAGGCTTGTCCTCCACATCATAAAGCATGCTTTTTAAAATTATTATTTCATAAGTGATGAGTTTAAGGTGATTAGTTTAGCTAAGTAGAGTAGTCTATTATGCTGTAAGAGACCATTCAAAGACCGATTGATTGATTGTACAGTCACGATTATAATTCTGGACTTTTCGTTTTCCTGATTACATTTTTTTACAAAAAGGAGAAGAATAGAAGGAGGAGAGGAAGAAAATGTAGTAAAATACGAAGAGGAAGAGAATAAGGAGAAAAAGATGAGGAAGAGGGGATGGAGTGAGGGAAGGGGGAGGAGGATGGAGAAGAAGAGTACACATGACAGCATACAATACAATATACAAATAAATCTCATTATCAAAATAATTTTTTTTTTTGCCCCAATTTCCTGATGAAATAGATCTACTTTTCATTTTATTTAGAATACAGGAGCTCTTTTGGGAATAAACTAGTAGATCTACAGAGCAACAATTCATGTTGTTTTTTTAATCTTGTTAATTTTCACCAGAGCTATCTTTAAAAAGTCCACAGTATTTAATTAAACTTTCGCCAGGCATAATCACTCACCCTTCCCATATACCATTTTCATTGCTCCGATTTTCATAGAATTCAGACAAAGTACGAGGAATCGGCTGATAATGGAGCAGGCCGACAGAAAAACCATAAAGAGGAACATGGTAATCCTCTCAAAGGACATGGACTTTGTAGGCGTGACCCCGGCCCTTCTTGCCCGAGGCATCTTTGAAAATCATCACATAGATAAGTTTGACGTAAGTTGAATGGCATATGTCCACAACATTCATTTTACCAATCAAACATAAATTGGCAACGCCTGTATAAAACGTTCGTGAATCTTCATTCTCTGTCTAGAATATTTTCTATTTTGCCTCAAAGAAATAGTAACAGGAATGAATAGAAGCTAATTCCTCACCGATAGCCAAGAAAATGGAAATTTATGAAAATTCAATTCAGAGCAATATTGGTAGAGATGCTCAAAAGGTACAGCCAGCTCAGAGTTGCAAAATTGCCTTTGATCGATTAATACTTTAAAAATTCATATCTTGCAAAATCTTGTAACAGATTTTTCTCAAACCTTTACTTTTTTTAGACTCTCATTTTTCTGCTTTTATTCAAGCAAACGAAATATCGGTCTGTGGACTTCCCCTTTAATGGTTTTAAATTTTCAATGTTTTCTTCACACAAGACACGTTTCTATGGGTTTGCATAATAGCGGTGTTGATATTGCTATAGAGTTTAAGGTATTTGTTGTGCTTTTCATAATTCAATTTATACTTTAGAATAACGTTGAAAAATCACAGTTATTTGTTGTATGCCAACTCCACGTTTGATGATAATGAGATAATAAGTTCACTCAAAGATGTTTTAAAGTGGGTATATACCGATCAATTGTGCTTTTCGTTGTTGAATTTGTACCAACAAAACAACTTTAATAGTCCCAATTAATTTGGATGCTAACTTTCCGTTTGATGTTGAGATAAAGGTGAAAGGTAAAATTGAAGACATTCTGTTATTTTTTTGTGGACATAATTCATGTATAAATGTTTTTCCACTTTTTTGTAATAAAGAAATAATTTCAACAATTCTCTTTAACTAATATTGAATATCACAGTCAAAGCCCAGCAAGAAAGAGAAGAATATGGCGCTCTTAATGGACATAGAGACGAGGGGTCCCAGGGCCTTCACTAGCCTAATAGAGTCACTGATCGAGGCCAACCAAAAACATTTAGCACAGAAGCTAGGATACTCAGCGTCTGGACCTTCACAGGGCCGGATGGGCCAGGCACAGGCTAAGACAGCTCATGTGAACAGACCGGCTCCATTTGGTCAACCAACCCAGCAAGTGCCCGAGGGTAATTCATAGATTAAAACTTTAAAGTTCTGGATTGATTTATACATAAATTTGACAACAAGAATAAATGATTAGATAAGAACACTGTTAACAAGATTATTCAACCATTTTTCTTGTATTAGGCATATCAAAATCTCTTCTTTTTCTTCCTCTTCTTCTTCTACTACTATTTCTTCTACTTCTTTTTCTTCTCCTTCTTTTTCTCATACTTCATCTCCTTCTTCTTCTTCTCCCACATAATATTTGATATAGTGCGCTTTGGTCGGTTTTTAACTAGTAAACTGCATAATAAAAGAAAGTTTTTACTTATTTTTTCCTTGCGGTTCAAACAGGCTTCACATTTTTCTGTACCATGTAGGACATGGAACGCTTTAAACAACAATAAACACACCCATATGGGAGGACGAATAACCATACACAATGAACTTTGCCTATTATTGATCATGTTATTATTTTGATCTTTATTTAGTTTGGCCTGCCAGAGGTAGCAGTGGTGACTACAGCTCAACTCAAATGGATGCCTCAGGCTCGTATCCACAAACTATGGTGGATAGTGATCTTGTAAGTGGATGGAATTCTCCCTAATCATTGTCCTTACATATGTATCACAGAAACGTAAAGATATTTTACAACTAAGACAGTACAAAAAAAGAATATCTTACAAGTTATATAAGAAATGTTCTTCTCAGCAAACGACACACACAAAAGACAAAAGTCAAAAGTCACGGTAAACTTGAAGGCAAGATTCCAACAACGACAAAAGCCTAAGTAAAACTGTGAACTGTAAGATATTGCCAGTGCTAACAGCACGTTTACTTCGCTACAAAAATACCCCCAAAATACATAACATATTATATATATATTAAATCATATTATGCATCATTTATTATATATTCACAAAGACGTTTCATTAAATTATTAGAGAAAGAAGACGATTCGTTGTACCGTTCTTTACTCTTAAAGGGAAAGTCCACCCCCAAAATAAGTTTGTTTCGATAGAGGCAGAATAATAAGAAAATCAGGTGAGTGAAAGTTTGAGCAAATTCTGAATGAAAATAAGAAAGTTATGAATTATTGAAGTTGTACAAATTGGCAACTCTGTGACTTATTATACGAGCTCTCCTTCATTTGCTTTGTGCATAATATTCCATAAAATCATGTTTTCTTCGTTATTGATGACGGAATATATATTTGTTCCTTGCAGGGGGAGTATAGAAACATATTTGCAATTATTATATTTAGGGTGCATGTATGGTTGAAATTTTTCTTGAGGGAAAATGAAAATTTTAGATTTTTTTAGTACTGAGCAAATGGAAGTTGAGCTCGCATGATACGTCATAGAGTTGCCAATTTGTGTTTGATTGATCACAACTTCAAAAATCCTAACTTCCTTATTTTTAATCGGAATTTGCTCAAACTTTCACTGACTTGTTTCTCTCATTTTTCTACTCCTATTAAAACTAACTTAATTTCAGGGTGGACTTCCCCTTTAATCCTCGTCTGAATTTAGTTTCCTTCTCCCGCGGCGCAGAAGCTTTGACGTTTCATTTAATTATTACACAAAGAAGACGATTCGTTGTACTGTTTACGACTCTTAATCCTTGTCTGAATTCAGTTCCCCCCCCCCCTCCCGCGCGAAACTCTGAAGCTTTGACGTTTCATTAGATTACTAGAGAAAGAAGACGATTCGTTGTACCGTTCTCGACTCTTAACCCTTGTCTGAAAGAAGTTTCCCCCAACCGCGCGAAGCGCGGAAGCTTTGGCGTTTCATTAAAATATTAGAGAAAGAGAATGATTCATTGTACCGTTCTTGATTCTTAATCATTGTTTGAATTTAGTTTTACCCGAAAATGTTAAACCTCTGATTTCTTTAACTGATATTATAGGAAAGTGAAACTTCCAGAAAAAACAAGTATTATACTTGAAGTCTGTCTCGAAGTCGTCACAGCGGATAAAAAGTCACATTTCGTATGGAAAAAAAACTTGTCGGCCGACCGACATTATACATCTAATCGACTTCAAGCTTCTGTATTGATATAGTACACGAGGATCGAGCAAGAATACCGACACAGCTGACCCGACACAGCAACATATTTATGTATGTCTTCCTTGCTACCTGGACGAGACGACTCCACCCAACAAACCTCCTCTCTCTCTCTTACTCCCACCCTCCTCTCTCAGGCTCTTACCTCCCCTCTCTCTCCTCTCTTTCACCCACCATTGCTTTTGTTTCTTTCTATTTTTCCTTTTCTCCTTTTCTTTCTTTCTTTCTTTCTTTCTTTTCCTTTCCTCTCCTCCCTCTTTTTTTCTCTTTCTTCTCTTCTCTTCTCTTTCTTTTCTTCCTTTTCTTTTTTTCTTTTCTTTCCCTTTCCCTCTTTTTTCCCCTCCACCTTTTCTACCTGTTGTTGTAGTTCCACGTGCACATTAACATGTACAGTGCAAGTGACTTTAAGCAAGGATGAGTCAATTTCTTATCATTATGTTGATTCCAAAACCTCATGTACACATATTCTTTTTACACTATGCATCATCAACTTTTTTCATATCACTTCCAGGCAGTTTCTTTCATAATGCTATTGCATGACCAGAACTCTAATTATCTCTAAATAATAACATGCCAAATTGTCAACAAGATCTCAAATGTAATCAGTTCATTACATTTACCAGTGTATTGAACGTATTGAATGTTTTCTCCCATAGGTCTACAAAATGAAATCTAGACCTAGAGGTATAGCTCTCATTATCAACAACAAAAACTTCAACACCATGAAGGAGAGGACAGGAACGGACGTAGACTGTCGCAACTTAGAGAATGTCTTCAACCAGCTTGGCTTCAATGTAGTTGTACACAATGATCTCACAGGAAGGGTGAGCACGTGTGCGATTCTTAAGAGCATCATCAACATGGCCTTCTGTTGAAATCTATGTTGATACTATATTTTTCATAAGAACTTGTCAAAATATTTGATAATTCCACTGTGTCTTTTGACCTTGAGTGTTTGGTTAATGTAGAATGATATTGAACATGGATCACTTGTCAGCAGAGCATGTATGGTACAACCAGTAGGTCCTTGGTACAACAGTAGTTTGTAATGCAGATGTAAGGAATACCTCCCCTCCTACAGACCCCCCCCCCCCCCCCCCCCCTACCCTTGTTTTAGCATGTCAAAATTCATGTGTAGTTCCATTGTGGTTCAGGGACAAAAGGTGTAATTATTCTTAATATTTCATCAAAATTTGTAGAATATCCAGCAGAAGATTGACCAAGTAAGGAGACACAACCACTCCCAGTTCGACTGCTTCATTTTCGCCATACTCACCCATGGGGAAGAGGGCTCCATTTATGGCACGGACGAGCGTCTGGTGAAGATAGAGGACATAGTTGGTCCCTTTGGTTCTGATCGATGCCCGACTTTGAATGGAAAGCCCAAGCTCTTCTTCTTACAAGCATGTCGAGGGGGTAAGTCACACTTACATCACCATTGTCATCTTTTAGTGTCCGTTTGTTCCTATGTTGTTGGGTTGGACGTTTCATTTCCCATGTGGCCCTTCTCCACGCCTTCTGGTCTTCAGCATCTGCCTTTGCTAGGCTAGGTGCTGTCATATCTTCTTTTTTTTGGTCCCACCCAAAAATTTCGCAACGACTCAGCCAGCCGCTGAGGGGCTAAATTATAAAAATTAAAAAAATAAAATAAAAGGCAAAAAGGGGGGGGGGGGTTCCTGAAAATTATACACATAAAAAAACTCAAGGGGGGGGGGTAACCCCCCCCCCCCCCCCCCCCCCCCCCCTGCGTACGCGCCTGAATGTAATGCTTCCTGGGAGAAATTTCAATAGTTTAAACATATTTGTGGCTTACACCCAGTAAATAAGATCGATTGATCGATCTGTAAATTGCAAAACAAGTCAGAAAAAAATCTTGTATATTGTATGGCATATTTGGGACTCAATAAAGTCTCTTTTCAGGCTCATTGGGCGAAATCAACTTGTATCCCTAGCAGGTCGAGGCCACTTACGTAAGATACATTTTTGAACTCTTATTTTGTGCCAATGTCAGAGAGATTCGACGGTGGAGTAGAAGCAACAGACGGTACTGCTGTACCCCCAACTGATAAAGCCGCAGGTGAAGCTCGGGCCAAGGATCAGGAAAAGCCTCAGGTCGATGAACAGGATGACGATCAGCTGGTCAACAAGATGCTTAAAATGGATTTAGATTTCACCGATAGCTTTGCATCCTGTCGTAGTAAGGTGCCCAGTCAAAGCGACATGCTCCTTGCATATGCAACTGTGCCAGGTGAGATTTGGGGGATATTATAAAATTAATAATGAGTTCTATGAAAGCAGGATCTAAAATGAATGTAGGCAATGTAATTGGGCAAAATGACAACACATGACCGTACATAGTTCTTTCCTGTATACCACTGCATGCCTACCGTGCAAAAGAAATCCCCATAGAAAGCTGAAGCTGCTGAAGTTTAAGCGCGGAGTTAAAATTCGGGCATGTGCCTGCTCACTTTCACTCGCCGCCCAAAGTACGCTCGGTGCCCGGGCGGTCGCTATCCGGGCAATCTAGCGTTTGCCGTCGAGCGATTTAGGTCATAAATCGAAGCCGCTAGCCCAGGATCAAAATCCAATTGAAACCAGTTGAAATCTCCAACTGGTTTCAATTGGTTTCAACTGGTTTCAATTGGTTTCAATTGGTTTCAATTGGTTTCAATTGGAATAGAAAATTTCCAGTTGAAACCAATTGCCGAACTGGAAAATATTGTTATGGGTACTCATTTCCAGTTCAAACCAATAAGAAGTGCAACTGGAACCAGTAAGGTAATTTTTCCAGTTACTCAATTGGTTCCAGTTAGAAGTCATTTCCAGTTACCCAACTGGTTCCAGTTAGCATTCATGTCCAGTTAGAAGTCATTTCCAGTTACCCAACTGGTTCCAGTTAGAATTCATTTCCAATTACCCAATTGGTTCCAGTTAGAAGTCATTTCCAATTACCCAACTGGTTCCAGTTAGAAGTCATTTCCAGTTACCCAACTGGTTCCAGTTAGAAGTCATTTCCAGTTACCCAACTGGTCCCAGTTAGAATTTATTTCCAGTTACCCAACTGGTTCCAGTTAGAATTCATTTTCAGTTACCCAACTGGTTCCAGTTAGCATTCATTTCCAGTTAGAAGTCATTTCCAGTTACCCAACTGGTTCCAGTTAGAATTCATTTCCAGTTACCCAATTGGTTCCAGTTAGCATTCATTTCCAGTTGGAAGTAATTTCCAGTTACCCAACTGGTTCCAGTTAGAATTCATTTCCAGTTACCCAATTGGTTCCAATTGGAAATATTTCCAGTTACCCAACTGGATCCAATTGAAACCAGTTAATTTGCATATTATATGCTTGTGTGCAGATCAATGTTTTATGTAATTTATTTTGATTTACAATGTACTTATTAATTAATTTTCATTTGCAAGTAATGCATTTGTTTTAGATAAATATAAAGATTAATTAGCAATGATAAGCATGTTCATTAGTAACATATTTTTGTAATTACACAGATTAAAAGTTGATTAGTAAAACACAAACCATGTACAAAATACATCAAATACAAACATATATAATGGCAATGCCTTCCTAGGCGTTGTGGCGTGTGTGTGTGTGTATTTGGTTTTTACAGACGTGTATCAATCAGATATGATTATTTACGTCTGGGGACCGACCTTTAACGTCACCATCCGAAAGACGTGACTCAGTTTCGAACCTGCGTCCTCGGCTGAATCAGTTTGTAACTTCCACTGTTAGCTGGATTACAGGCGCACGCCACAACGCCTACAGCGTGCGCCTGTAATCCAGCTATAAAGTGGAAGTTACAAACTGATTCAGCCGAGGACGCAGGTTCGAAACTGAGTCACGTCTTTCGGATGGTGACGTTTAAAGGTCGGTCCCAGACGTAAATAATCATATCTGATTGATACACGTCTGTAAAAACCCAATACACACACACACTTGTTAAGTATATTATATGGTCTGCATATTATTATGCCCTTTACATTGTACTTAATGTAGACACATATAACAATGTTTCTGTGTTGACATGAGCGATAATTAGTGCAAGAGCTAATTAACTTATAACTAATTAAGTTTATGCCAACTGTAAGTTTCAATTGGATCCAATTGAAACCAATTGAAACCAGTTGAAACCAGTTGAAGCCAACTGGTTTCAATAGGGAAATTGGAACAACTGGTTCCAGTTGAAACCAATTAGGCAACTGGTTCCAGTTGGCAATTGGGCAACTGGTTCCAGTTGGCAATTGGTTTCAACTGGTTTCAACTGGTTTCAATTGGAACCAGTTGGCAATTGGTTTCAACTGGTTTCAATTGGAACCAGTTGTTCCAATTTCCCTATTGAAACCAGTTGGCAACTGGTTTTGCTCCGATTGGTTTCAACTGGGGGACCCCTCGCCGTTTTGAAAAAATATGTTGAAGAGAAATAGAAAGAAAGAAAGAAGGAATAGTGACCTGCCAGTGTAACAAATGAGGTACCAAAATATGCTCGTCTGACCGTAATTAAATACCTAAAACCCCTGAGCTTGCGGGGACCCCGACCCCTGGACCCCACCAGGGGCCCTAAGGCGGGCCCTTGGATGCTTGTCTGGCCGTAATTTAATGCCTAAAACCTCTGAGCTTTAGGGGGCTACGCTCTACCTGATTATTAATACTTTAGCCCCCCCCCCACACTTTGAAAAACATTCCGCAGGGCATGCATGTTACATAATTTATAAGAGTGGTGGTGATGCGGATTTTTTTCTTCTGCCCCCCCCCCCCCCAAAAAAAAAAAAACGATTTTGCTCATTACGCCACTGGTTCCTCACATTTCGTCCCCCCGGTAATGAAAAGAAATCGCCGCCCCTGCGGAGAGTCCAGGATTCTGCTCCGTATGTGGCAATAATATAAGGGCTATGCAGATCCTGAATTTTAGTCTCCTATAAATATCTTGATTGGACCAGATGGCACTTTTCAGCCTTCCGAATGCCCAAGAAGCCAGTCTTGTTCGTCTCTTCACGTCATCTTCTATGGAAGGAACTGTGCTGCCGAGAAAAAGAACAAATTTATCCACTTCTCAATGTTGGTGTTGTTAAGTAAAATATAGTGTTGATCCTCTGTCATGACTTTGCATTTTGTAGCATTAATTTTCATTCCCCACCCTCTACATGCCTTCTCCAGTTCATTTGTTGAGATTTGGAGGTGTTTAAAAACGATTTTCATAAGGGTGCGTGTCATCTGCATATTATATCTGATGTTGTTAATACGCATGTCACGCATCTGTATTCCACTATTTTTGTTAGATGTTCTTCATCACATATTGCAGGAATATAGGTTGAAGCAGGCGCGTACGCAGGATTTTTTCAAGGGGGGGGGGGTTAACATGTTTAAATCGGGCCGAAAATATCGCATCGACTCAGCCAGCCGCTGAATAAGCGGGGGGGGGGGGGGGGGGGGGGGGGGGGGGGGGGGGGGGGGGGGGGGGGGGGGGGGGGGTAAGAGGACACTTTTTTTTTTTTTTGGTCTCGAAATTTGAAAATTTGACATTTTGCGCCGTTGGGGGGGGGGGTAAGGTCACCTTTTTTAGGTCAGCCATGGGAATAATTTTTTTTTTTTTTTTTATTTATTTTTTTATATTTTTTATTATTATTAAAAAAAATTAAAAAAAGAGGAAAAAAAACCCAAAGGGGGGGGGGGGGGGGTTTGGTTTTTTAAGGGGAGTTTATACACATAAAAATATCAAAGGGGGGGTTAACCCCCCAAACACCCCCCTGCGTACGCGCCTGGGTTGAAGAGACTTGGAGAGAGACGGCAGCCTTGTCTCACCCCAGTTATGACATCAAACCATTCAGTTATATTGACATATTGACATGCTTTTTTAAACAGGATTCGTGTCGTGGAGGAACTCAGAGAGAGGGAGCTGGTTTATCCAAGCTTTGACAGAAACTATCATACAGCATGCGAGAGATGAAGATCTTCTTTCGATGATCACCATGGTAATTATTTGTTTTCCAATTTCAGTGTTAAGAGCAATAATCTTGATGAAAATGGATGCTCTTTGTCCCATTTCACAGACTTACTAATACCGCAAAGAAAACTTCTTTAACGAGTACAATATGAATTAGCACTACACTGTGTAAGCCCATCCCATACAAAAAATATAACTGAGAATCAATGGCCTATGTGATAAATGCCGACGCTTTCCTTCACGCCTTGGTGAGTGAGTGGATAAAGAAAATTTATGATTATTAGCTTTCCTTCTAGGGCGGTTCTCCTGGAAGATGGTGGAGTTATGTATCTTTTAGATTTACTTCCATGATACTTCGTATCAGATAGGTACATAGTAATTGTGCTTCAATTCTTCTTTCATCCATGCAGGTCAATGGCAAAGTAGCAAGAGCTTTCGAGTCTTCCTCGGCCGGCAGGCATAAGCAGATGCCAGCCCCCGTCACCATGCTTACAAAGAAGCTCTACTTCTTCCCAGGACATTATGATTAAATCCCTTTTCAAACGAGGCACGATAGGCCGCCTCAAAAACTGTCGTGGCGAAACATCCTGTTTATTAAATGAATGACAATTAAAGGGATAATTGAGTTCTGTTTTCAGACCACATGCCTTCAAAGTGCATGGTCATAGGCGCCGGAAGTGGGAGGTAGGCGGCACTTGCCCCCTCCCCCCCCCCCCCCCCCCCCAATCAAAAAAGTGGCGGGGGGGGGGCAAAGCAGTAAAGGAGTGAAGATGGTTTGTATTTTCAACCAAAATGAACATAACAATAATAAAAACCTGAATTTAATCACATATAAATTCCATTCAAAGAAAAGGAAAGTTAACAGGAATTAAATTTCCTAAACATCCCGCATGCCACCTATATTTATCAATGGAGGTTTTTAAAATAGCGATACGCGCATATCGTGGAAATATTTTGAGAGGATGGGAAAGCGTGTGTGTTTTTGTTATATAGGGGTGAGAAGACATCAGCCCCTGAACGCTGGCGTACTGATGGGGGGGGGGGGGTATTTCTCATTTGATACCAGTTATTTAAAGTTGCTGAAATGACATGATTTTCCGGTATTTTTTTCTCAAGTTTTTGGTAAGTCGTACCTTTTTATGCGTTTTGTTGGAAAATTATAAATTCCCAAATTTACAGTCGGGCGAAAAATATGCTTATTAAGAACCCTTCATGTCAGGGCCTGAAGAAACGGCTGGGGCTCTAGCCCCCCTCACTTTTGGAAAAACAGAGGAAAAGAAGGAAAGAGAAAGAGAAAAAATAGGTGACCTGCCAATGTCACAAATAAGGTATCAAAATATGCTCATCTGACCGTAGTTAAATACCTAAAACCCCCGTGCTTCCGGTGGCTCTGCCCCCCTAGACCCCACCAAGGGCTCCAATGCGGGCCACTGGATGCTCGTCTGACCGTAATCAAATACCTAAAACCCCTGAGCTTCCATGGGCTCTGCCCCCTGGACCCCCACCAAGGGCCCAAAGGCGGGCCCCTGGGTGCTCATCTGACCGTATATACCTAAAACCCCTGAGCTTCCGGGGGCTCTGTTCCGTGGACCACATCAATGGCCTTAAAGAGGACGTTTAACCGTAATTATATACATAAAACCCATGAGCTTCCGGGGGCTCTGCCCCCTGGACTCTCTGCCAATTAGTGACCTAACAGTGTTACAAATAAGATATCTAAATATGCTTATCTGACCGTAATTGAATTCCTAAAAACCCTGAGTTTCCGGGGGCTCAGCCCCTTGACTCCCCTGCCGGGGCTTCCGTACGTTTTTGCTCGTTACGCCACTGCCCCTGGAAGGTGAGCCCCCTGGAACGTTTGCCCCCCCCCCAAATCCCAAACTGCATGGTTATTGTTCTTATTCTTATCTATGACATTTCTAGTGCTCTTTTAGAACCCCGAATTGCTATGAAGGTAATTTTAGACCCCAAAATGTGTGAAATTTTGCTAATACGATCATACCAATTCAGCTCCACTTTCCAAAAAATACGGCCGGTGACCGTTTATTAATTATTTAATTAAAAATAACAATACATGGGCCGGCTAGTTGTGCGTAATAAAACCAACACGAAAATGCCAACAAAAAGCCAACATCGGCATTGGCTGAAATACGACGTAAAAGGCGCTATTTCGTTTTTTCAACGGCTTTTTCAAATTATCTAATATTTGTGGTGGTAGAAATCGTTATATTTATGGATATTTCAGTCGTCTCTGAACCCATTTTGATCAAACAAAGATGATTTTGTCATTGAAATCGAATGTTCTTTCAAATTTGACACTCAGTTTTGTATTATCTCACAAACAATTATTTTGTGTAGCGCCGCCTCTGCAACAGAACTCAACTATCCCTTTAAGAGGCAGTTCTGTGGGCGTAAACATTGCACAAGTCATGTACTCTCTTATCTGTGTGTCGATCATGAATGCAGCATTGTGAAGCGAATTACGTCTACCCATCTTATTTTATACTGTCGTGGAGGTTTCTTTCAAGCGGTTAACAACCTTGCGTCTTGAGTGAGCCCCTGATGAGAGGAACGGTGTTCTCTTTAATAGCCACATGGACTCAGGCCTCGGGTCTTTGTCAAGAGGTTTGACGTTAACGCCTTTCTGGCTCTAAACAGACTATATGTTATCTTGGTAAAGAAACTAATATTTAGAAATATTAGGACCCTATATACAGTCATGTAGGCCTACATGTACTGCTACATTTGTAATTCAGCTCATTTACAAGATGGCAGAGCCATCGTAGAAAAGGCCCCGTTTCGTGAAACTTGTAATTAAATAATTATAATCAGTTATAACAGTTATAATCGACTGAAATCGTTGCATTTGATTGGCTGAGAGCAAACTTGTCATGGAATTAAAGCATTTGTAATTGAGAACAAGTTTTATGATACAGGGCCCATATCTTTTGCAATGTTCAGTTGGCTTCAATCAATGTATACATGTTCAGTCAACCCCCTCTGTTAAGGCTACCAAACAAAGCACAAAATGTGGCCACTGTAGACAGGTGGCCTTTTTAGGTTCTTCAACATGCAATAAAGGCTTATAAAGAGTTATTTTGTGTTGCTTTGTAAGATTTCGTAAACATTGACGTACCAGTGGTTTAATGTTTGAGATTCCAATTTTGTTCTTTAAAAAAGAGACATTTTCTTGTAAAAAAGGTAATTTTTTCAGTTGCATTTTAGATTAATTACATTGAATGTATTAATTATGCCTTTGACTATAGATATATATTGTGCACCATCGAAGGTCATTCTTGATTTATTTCTTTCAGAATTTGCCTTTCAGTAGGGCATACAACAATATCATTTATTTTACATCATGTAATCTGCATCCACACTGTTTTTAAGCTTAATTTTGAACTGTAATATTTTACATCAAAAAGAATTATGAGGAAGAACTTGTTTTCCTGTGCTTTTTTTTCTTTCTTTCTCTTTGCCCGTATTCCTGAAAATTTCGCAACAACTCAGCCAGCCGCTGAATAATGGGGGGGGGGGGGGGGGGTAAGAGCACTTTTTTTTTTTTTTTTTTTGTGTGTCCCAAAATTTGGCTGAACAATATCAATATCAATGTCAGCTTTTTGGGGTCACCCATTACCACAATTTAAAAAAAAAAAATCATGTTTAAAAAAAAAAAAAAAAAAATTGAATGGTACCAGTACAAGGTCCACTCTTTTCTGGAGCAGCTAGTGGCATTCTCCTTGTTCCAAATAACTGTAATTATTTAAAAAAAATTATCCAAAGAAATTAAATCAAGTCATTGTCTTCAAAAATTTAAAATTAGATAACATGATTTTGAATAGATGTTCTCTGTTGGTTTCCATGAGGAGTATGAATCCACAAATTAAGGCTTTCAGTAACACCTTGTGTTTGATTGACTGAAAAGGTTGTTGATATATTCTTTCATCAAAAGAATCCACTTATGGGGCGCTTTAATTAGAGGAATTTAGGAAGAAGTATAAAGGAAAGGGAAAGAAAGGAAGAGATGACAATGGAATAAAGTTTGTTTTTTCCATTGAGCTAAAGAATCGTGATTATAACGGCAATGAGATGTTGACAATCATCAACTAGTTGACTAACTCAACGTCCTTGAGCGAGGCATTTTATCTTTTCATGTTGTATATACTTATGTTTTCGTACGTTATAGAAATTCTACAAATTCATCATTATTTTCCTCTTCTTCCTTCTCCTCTTTTTCTTCTTCTCCTTCTTCTTTTTCTTCTTGTACTTAATATCATTTCTATCATCAGTTTAATGTTGTTATTATTATCTTTAATAAGTAGTTCTTTTAATTTTCTTATCTGTCTGTAAATATTACTATTTTAATTTATTAATTGTATACATGTCTGTAAGGGACCCCACTGGAAATAAGCTCTCGAGCTTTCGTGGGTTATCCTGTTCAAGCTGACTTATTTTTGATCTGTTATTATTGTATATTGTTGTATATTGGAAGCTTGTCGAATAAAAATCAATCAATCAATCAATCAATCTACATTGCTCCTCTCCTCCAAGTAATTAGGAGCCTGGCAGGGGCGATCCCGGGGGAGGGGGGGGGGGGGAGGACACGTCCCCTCTCAATTTGTTTAGGGGGGGGTCGTCCCTACTGGTTTTTCAACTGGTTAGCATTGTTTCCAATATGGAAATTGGTATACTGGTATTCCAACTGGTACCATTACCAGTTGATTCCACTATATCAATTTCCATATTGAAACCAGTTCACTTAATTAACTGGAATCAACCGGTATACAGGGCCAGTACCATTTGTTTTCAACTAGTCCCTAACTAACTGGGCACTCATGATGAACTGCTAACGTTTAAATTTCACAGATAGGCGGGACATACATGTACGTGACATGTTCATAATTCCTGCAAAGTTCTACAGAATTTGATGTTGGCTGCAAAAGGGACAATATCTTTAATCTAAACGCAACTTTCTAAATTAGTGAAAAACTAATATAAACGCTGTTGTGTTTTTCATGTACATGTAGTGATTAACTTGAGAAGGGGGTACATTTATTTGTGTAGGTATTACCCCCGGGGTCTCAGTCAAATATAAATGATGTAAGCATGCGTGACCAAAAAAATGCGTATACCGGTAAAGGGGTGTTTTTGAGATTGGACGCGGTCCGCGCGGTGCATCATTAAGGGGTTCAAAAACGTCCATTGTGGGCCATTTTCAAGAAAAAGGGTACCTTTTTAAATGGTTCAAAATCCTGCTGTACGCGCCGGTATACGCGTTTACTGGGGTATTTTTTCTAGCCCTAATTAAGGTCCAGACCGGGTAAAAAGGGCTAATAATTGCCAGGGGCGGGCATCCCGGGAGGGACGGATTGTCCCCCCGGAAAATTTGAAAAAGTGCAAACAGAAAGTGTAGAGCAAAGACTGCAATAAACTTTTAGGCTCTGGAGGGTCCAAGAGTGCAGCGTTTGGACAAATAGAAATGGAATCATCTTCTTGCTCGGTAGCTACGTTCCCTCCCATAATATATCTTTCAAAGTGTTCAAGTAAATATTGTAGAAAAGTGAATTGTGACAAAATTATATTCCTTGTGTTTATACTATGGTTTTGCTAAGGAATGTAATTTTGTAATACAAGAACTTCAAAAACCAGTAAGGGGGTAGTCACTTCCATCGCTCCACTTGCTTCGGTCGCTTTGCTGTACCAGATCGAAAATACTTTAGCCCCCCGGCCGTGGCTCCCCCCCCCCCCCCAAAAAAAAAAATAATAAATAAATAAATAAAATTGAAAAACGTTTTGCGGGCCTGCATGTAACATATAAGAGGGCAGGGGGTGATGCGGATTGTTTTCTGCCCCCAAACGTTTTTTGCTCATTACGCCACTTCTCCCACGACCCTCGCATTTCGTTCCCCGGCCCGCCCCCCCCCCCCCCTCCCCCCCCCCCCCCCCCTCCCCCCCCCCCCCCCCCCCCCCCCCCCGAGTCATGAACAAGCGCGTAGCCAGGATTTCATTTTAGGGGGGCGGTAGTGCAGCACGCGAAGCGTGCGAATCACTTACAGAGCGCGCTCCCTAGGGGGGAGGGTGCAGGGAGGGGGGAGTTTCCCCCCTCCCGCGCGAAGCGCGAAAGCTTTGAGGTTTCATCAAATTATTAAAGAAAGAAGACGATTCGTTGTACCATATTCTCGACTCTTAATCCTTCAGTTTCTTTTGACGTTTCATTAGAGAAAGAAGACGATTCGCTGTACCGTCCGACTCGACTCTTAATCCTTTTTTTGTATCAAGTTCCCCTATTCCTCCGCGGAAGCTGTAGCGCGGAAGCTCTGAAGTTTTATTAGATTATTAAAGAAAGAAGAAGATGCGTTGTACCATTCTCGATCGACTCTTAATCCTTGTCTGAATTCAGTTCCCCCCCCCCCCTCCCCTCCCGCGGCCAGCTTGACGTTTCATAAATTATTAGAGAAAGAAGACGATTTGTTGTACCGTTCTCAACTCTTAATCCTTATCTGAATTCAGTTCCCCCCCCCCCCCCCCCTCCCCTTCGATCAGCGCGGAAGATTCGACGTTTCATTAAATTATTAGAGAAAGAAGACGATTCGTTGTACCGTTCTCGACTCTTAATCCTTTTTCTTCCTACGTCCTCTTCCTTTCTTCTTTTTTTCTCTCTTTTTTTTTTTGGACGGCGTTTAGGGGGGGGGCGACCGCCCCCACCGCCCCCCCCCCCCCCCCTGGCTACGCGCCTGGTCATGAAAAGAAATCGCCGCCCCTGGTAATTGTCCATTGGCGAGACTACTGGCCGCCGCGTGCCGCCTGGCTTAGATGACAGACGTGGAAGTGCATCTACAGGTAGACAGAAATACCGCCTGTATCATCATTTCTTTAATAATTGACATTTGTTGACTAATCGGAGGTCTAGTGGAGCCAGACGTAGTCTCAGTGGAACAACCGACGATTAGAGAGACTGAAGCTTTTGGTCTAATCTACAGGTTGAAGTAATTGTTTCTCTACTTGAACAAAAAAAAAATTCATCAGATTTATTTTACGAGATCGTGCATATTTTCCTATCCCATTTCAAAATGCTCGAGGGTTAGAATTTCGCAAATAATTCGGGAAAAAACCTCCAAAACCACCCACACTATGAACATGACGGACAAAGAAAGAGGACAAAATATACAGTTCCTCAGGTAAACAAGGGAACATCCCTTCACTGCTATTATGTAAAAATGTGTAGAACAGGTGTCACATGCATATTCACCTGTTTGACTCATTTTTACATAATAGCAGTGAAGGGATGTTCCTTTGTCCACCTGAGGAACTGTATATTTTGTCCTCTTTCTTTGTCCATCATGTTCATAGTGCCAATTTTAGCTTCAGCTGTGGTCACGCATGACTGCACGGGACCCCGGGGTATTCCCAATGGTTTGAGTTCGATGGGTATTCCCCTTTGAAAGAGTACCGGTATGATGGGATCGAGGCCGAGGCACCGCAAAAATGACGTTATACTAAGTAAAAATGTATGTAGCTATAACATATAAAATACAGAATCCACAACATATGGCAATATGGCGCAATGCAACTGTCCTGCTAGCTGTACTTTGCATGCTAATGTTAACCAGCGAAATTGAACAAGGAAATCGTGAGTTGGAGCGAACGTAAGTAGCTCGATCATCATCATGATTTTCTCATCTAATTATTGACATTTTCCGAAAATGTCAGAATTTTTACAGGAAGGCAGTCCAAGGCCAAGGTTTATTGAACTAAATGAAATTGTATTATATGTTTGTGCTTCTGTTGGATGAGGGTTAGAAATAGATCTAAAAGTACCGGTAGTCAATTAATTCATCACCACTTTTCACTCCGACTCGTACTGACGGGCGACGCAAAAGCTGCCTGGCGCTGGCTGGCTCATGGGCTTGCGTGCTGTAGTGTGGGTGTCCGTGGAAATTAGGACTAGTATGAAAGTTCGCGGATATTTTGACGATATTATGAAATGTGTTATTCGACCTATGATTTCTCATATTCTACACTAATTTATTTATTTTAATTATTACCGAATGGACGGCACAGTTTTTTTTATTACAAATTGGTTCAACTAGAAATGTTATCGTCGAAGGATTCCAATTCCAAGAGATAGATCTATTGCGATCTAAAAATTTGGCGCTAATTCAGAATCATATCCATACTTTGACATTCAGAATCATATCCATACTTTGACCCGTAACTCTACTTAACTAAAACATACCAAAAATCAACTAAATCTTCATCAGTTGTTCAGATAATGGTCATGATTTAAAAGTTGTTATATGTTTCTTACCTATTTTGTGTCAATTTTTTTTCAAGTATTTTCCCCCAAAACGAAGACATAATATTCACTTTCTCATACTAGGTTTTCAATGGTAAACCGCCGCACAATACACTCCAGCAAAGCATAGAGACGGTGGGGTGCGGGTGCAACTGAAGTTAGTGACTGTAATTTCAGATCCTCATTAAATTCATGTGAGTAATTCATCATTACGGTCGCTAATTTCATTCACATGCGCCGATCGGTTGTTAATACAGGTCAGCGACAGGAGACACGAACAAACCAAACAAACGAACAATTAAGCGGCAGGCTATCTGCGCATGTGAGATAGACAGCCACCCGTCAGGTATTGCGCAACTGCTTTAAAGTAGATGTCATCGCTATCAGGAGGAGGGAACCATGCAGTCATCTCTGGAAAAGGAGAAGAAAAAAGGGCTTTAAAATCATGTACCAAAATGGTATATGATTAAAGACATACCTGTATATTGTTTTACATGTATACAATGCTATATAGGTCAATATGCATTAGCGTTAATACTATACTATGCTTTGCTTGAGTGAATGTTGATGTGCAGGGCTGCAACTCATATTTTGTTATTCAAATAATATAATATTATAAAGATATTCATTGATTTTTTAATATTTGTTAAAAAAAAAATTCTCAGACCTGGTATTGCTATAAGCTATAAGTTCCACCCTAAAAAAATGCTCCAGATCTCATTTATCTTGTGACATCATCTGTCGATCCTTAATGAGCTAACAAGAGACAGTGCAGTACCGGTATGTAACTTCCCCCAGCTCAGCACATGTTCACAAAAGAATTTCATTCTTGCATACAATACCTCCACATTAGGCCTACCTTTCTTTTCCACTCCTATGTTGTATGGTCTGTTGTAAACAGGTGGTCAGCTCTGGTGAATAACAAAATATGAGTTGTTTGCAGCCCTGCGCATCAATAGGAATCGACTTATATTTACATGTTACACGACCTTTAACTGTAAGCTAGGGGGGAAGAGACATGCGGTGTTACCAGGGGCGTAAATCCCGGGGGGATGGGGGGGGGGCTGCATCCCCCCCCCCCCCTACTTCAAGTCAGGGGGGGGATGGCCTGTACAATCATCCCCCCCCCCCTGATATTACCCCCAAAAGAAGAGAGGAAAAAAAGGAAGAAGAAGAAGAAGAAAAAAATGTGATTGTTTCAATTGCAGCATAATGCATGAGAAATGAGTTATTTTGTTTATGTATAGCCTACACGTATACAGGAAGTCACGATCAGGAAACGTCAAGGCTTCCGCGCTTCGCGCGAGATGGGGAAACTGAATTCAGATAAATAGGGCTTATTAAGAGTCGAAAACGGTGCAACGAATCGTCTTCTTTCTATAATAATTAAATCAAACTTCTAAGCTTTTCGCGCGGGAAGGGGAAACTGAATTCAGACGAGAATTAAGAGTTTAGAACAGTACACCCAATCGTCTGATTTCTCTAATAATTTAAGGGAACGTCAAGGCTTCGCGCGAGAGGGGGAAACTGAATTCAGACAAAGATTTAGAGTCGAGCACGGTTTAACAAATCGTCTACTTTCTCTTATAATTTAATGAAACGCCAAAATTTCCGCGAGGGAGGGGGGGGGGCCGGGGGGGAAACTGAATTCAAACAAGGATTTACAGTTGAGAACGGTACGCTACAATAAATCGTCTTCTTTTACTAATAATTTAAGGAAACGTCTAAGCTTCCGCGCTTCGCGCGGTAGGCTTATCACCCACACACCCCTAATGAGCGAGCGTGTGTGTGTGTGTGTGTGTTTGTGTGTTGTGTCTTGGTGCGTGCGCGCTTGCGTATATTAGTGTGGGCGTGTGCTCCTGCTAGTATGTGATGGCTATCGCCGATCATCCCCCCCACTCCTCGGTACGGATTTACGCTCCTGGGTGTTACGGACAACTTCAAAGGGTCCTCTTGGACGGTATGTCCATTCTTTCCAACTCCCTGGTTGTATATATTCAACTACGGTATATGGTATTTCTCCATTGAGGGCATTATAATTATTCAAGGTTTGTACAATGTCATGTCGTCGTGCTTACTCCTAGAATAACTTTCTGGTGTCATTTTGTTTATTTGATTTCTCTCCAACTGGTCAAACACAACATTTTCCAGAGTTTTTTTATGGAGCTTTCCCCATGAATAATCACTCACTTACTCACTACCATGTCATTTTCATTTCTCAGATTTTCTTAGAAAGTAGCGGTACGAGAAAACAGCTGAGAATGAAGAAGGCGGACAGAAAAACCATAAAGAGGAACATCGTGACCCTCTCAAGGGACATTGACTTTTTGAGCGTGACCCAGGAACTTCTTGCCCAAGGCATCTTTGAAAATCATCACATAGAGAAGTTTAATGTAAGTTGAATGTCATGTCCATAAGATTCATTTGTACCAATCAAACACAAATTTAAGAATACCCTACCAATAGGGTTTATTTACATAAACGTCGAAGACCTAGGGGTTAGGGTTACGGTAGGTTTAGTGTTACTTAAAGTAGATATTCATTGATTTTAAAAACTAACTTTATTTTCATTATTAAAGTTGAAACTTTGATTTGGCAAGGTTATCAAAATTCAATGCTTGGAAACTTTTGAAGTACTGATTATTATAAATTACAAAACTCTTAAATACAGCTCCGGCATAGCACCTAAAGAGCTCTACGAATGCTGCTGAGATGTGTGAGATCACAGGATGGACATGATTTGCACAAGCAGACGATGTCCCATGACATCTCACACATTTTAAATGCCTGTTTTTTCATCTTCTCTTGAGTTCTTTCTCTTACTTTTACTCTTACGCCATTTTATATTCAGCTGCACACACCGCGGTATGTTTTGCGTTTCAAGAGGGAACAAATGCCGTCCTTAATATCATTCCGGGGGTTTTTCAATTTGAAAGTTTGGTTTCTTTGATTGTTACTTAAAGGTAATAAAAAGTTTTGGTATGGGGTTATGAATTTGGTTCAAATGAATATATTGGAAGCATATGCAATCCTACAATATTCAGTGATCGTTGTCGCGGTTGAAATCGAGTCTAAAGTGATGAAATTGCAAATGATAAACTCTTTATGTTGTATAGCTCCCTCTCAAGGTCAAGATCTTAATTGAGCTTTTAAACAATGTTTCTTGACTAAAATCAACCAATTGGCTATTCCCCTTTGAAAGTTATATATATCACAACTACATATTCTAAGATTTTCATGGTCGCAGCTACCATTGTATGGCCTAGACGCAATTCGAAATTTATCAAAATTTACCGGGAGCACCGATAAATTGTATGTTTAACTTTTCTCGAAAACAGAAGTTTTTTAGGGGCTAAATTTTCTAGTGCTGAAGAATATATGATTTATGGGTAAAAATGTGAATTTCAGTACCTTATTTGCATAAATTACCATAAATATGCAAATGAGTGGATTTTTCTAAAAAAAATTAAAATATAGTAATCTTTAAACTGCACTTGACATGCATGCAAATTTTCACGACGATCATGGGGGGGGGGGGGCCTTAAAGACATTCTGTTAATATAATTTTTGGACATATATGATATTCCATTTTTTTGTAATAAAGAAATAAATTCAGCGATTCTTCTCCTTATATTAATTATCAAAGTCGAAGCCCAGCAAGAGGGAGAAGAACATGGCGCTCTTAATGGACATAGAGACGAGGGGTCCCAGGGCCTTCACTAGCCTAGTAGATGCCCTGATGAAGGCCAACCAAAAACATTTAGCAAAGTTGCTAGGATACTCGGCGTCTGGACCTTCACAGGGCCAGATGGGCCAGGCCCAGGCTACGACACCTCATGACAATAGACCGGGTCCGTTTGGTCAACCTACCAAGCCAGTGCCACCGGGTTAGTAATTGGTAGATTGAAATATAAAAGTTCTGGTTACATAAATTAGAAAACGAGAATAAATGTTTTTCACCCAATTTTTGGGGTATTTGGCATATCAAAGTCTCTTTTTCTTTTTCTTCCTCTTCTTCTTCTTCTACTAATTCTCCTTCTACTTCCTGTTTTTCTTCTTCTTCTTCTTCTTCTCCCACATAATATTTGATATAGTGCCTTTTTAAAGCGCTTTGGTCGGTTTCAACTGGTAAAATGCTTAACAAAAGACAGTTTTATTAATTTTGTCCTTGCATTAAAAAAATGCTCCACATTTGTATCTACCATGTAGGACATGGACCACTTAAAACATCAATAAGCACACCCATATGGGAGGATGAACCATACACCATGAACTTTGCCTATCATTGATCATGTTGCTGTTTTCATCTTTATTCTAGTGCCTGCCAGTGATGGCTATGGTGACTGCAGCTCAACTCTGGTGGATGCCTTAGGCTCGTATCCACAAGCTATGATGGAAAGTGATCTTGTAAGTGGATGGAATCCTCCCAAATCATTGTCCTTATATACTGTAAATCTATGTGTATAAGACCATGGACCTATTACGGATGGAAATTCAACATGATTCTTTCTTTGATCCAATGATAGTCACCAACTTCTGATTATGTGCATCTTAACAAGAACATTCAGCTGTTTTAACAATAACGACTGCTCAAGCATTTTCGGTCATTAACAAAGGAGCAGTTTTGTTTGAATGGTGTGCTCTGTACGAGTGTGTCTTAAATAAAAACATCCCCAAGGGGGGGCAGCAAAGTTGAAAAGCACACGACTTTGGTGATATGAAATGTATTATTACTGATTTGCACACTTTCGCACACATGACCTTATAAAACGAGTAGAAGGCCATGATCTTTATAAGTCCTGTGCATTGTAACTCTGGAATATTATGAGGAAATAGGGGAAAACAGGATTTTAAATCACAACCAATCCAAATATAACCTCTATCTAGTATATCAACATGTTTTTCAAAATAAAATACAGTACACGGAACAACAATTTCCGATTATAAGCCAGAACTGCACATCGATTTTCCATGATTTAGGCGAGTAATTATCTTCTGCGCATGTAGATTAACATGTGTAAAATTACTATCTTGAACTGTCCCAGCTTTTGGTGGTGACCATGATGAGATCAAAGTGAAGAAACATGTACGCGATGTTATTGAAATGTCATTGACGGAGACAATCACAATGAATTCGTTAATAAAACGATGAATGTCCATCCCTAATAGGTCCATGATAAGACGCACCCCTATTTTTAAGACCAAATTATTCCAAAAAAAATATTTTAAACAAAAGTGCTCTTTAGGGGAAACCGTAGTACGTTAGAAAACCCAAGCAAATTTCATTTTGATTCGAGGTGAAGTTAATGGCATCGATTTGTGCTTGTGAGCTTGTCACAAATAATATTGACAATGTCGTTTTTAAAACTAAAGATGACAGACAAAGGAACAACTGCAGAATTAAGCCCAGACAAATTTTCCTCCGAATCCAAACAGGCTAGTTATTGAGTGGTGAGTCAATATCCCCCGTGTGAGTGAGCTGCAAGATATGGGTGTGTGAGCTGAAGACATGGGTAAGCTTCTGCCGGCAGAGTGCTATGTGAAGGGTCATAATTTATCGAGACTGAAAGAAAGAAACAAGAAAAAAAAACTCTCCCCTTCAAATTAGGAATGTAGGTTAACTTCAAATAGTAGATCCTATTCTTTATTAGCATTAAGTTATTTATTGTGAGACACAGAGATTTTCGAAAACCACTGAAAAGTAGCATTTTGAGGACTCAAAATATCCTGTACCTGTGTATAACTATAAGACGCACCCCCGACTTTTGAATTTTTCTGGTGAAAAAAAAAAGGTGCGTCTTATACACAGAGATTTACGGTATGTATCACATATATATGTCGCTCTCCTAATCCCAGCGCTTGTGGAAATTTATTGTGAGGACATGATACCACCGGGAAGGTAATTCTGATGTAATTTCCTATGCACACATCTAATATTGTTGTCGACAATATTTTAACAGATGCGTTCATCAAAGCAAAACATTTCTGTCTTTCGAATGTTGCACAGTTTTTCTTTGAATCTGGTCATGAGAATGACCCATGTTCAAACTCTGCTGAAGAATTACAAAAAACACCAGCAGGGCCCCATTGCATATACAGGGAGGTGATGTTTTGACCAGGTAAAACATGTATACTCCAAAGAAAATCAATGAAAAGAAGTTGAATTGATATTTGTGAAATTTATTTGTATACTAGTACTAGGAAGCTTTATTTCATCCTTTACATAGGATATTCAATATAAAACACTAGCTGTATGGCTTATTACTCTCCCCTCTCCTCTGGCACATGTAGAGGTAGGCGGGCACATCTACAGAGAGGTACATGTACGTGATGTTTTGACCACGTAAAAGATATATAATCCAAAGAAAATCAATGAAAAGAAGTTGGATTGATATTTGAGAAACCCAGTTGTATCTTAGAAAGCTATATTTCATCCTTTACATCTAGGATATTCCATATGTATACATACAATACTAGCTGTATGGCTTACACTGCCTCCATCCCGTCTTAATTCTGCCACTGATATCGCATTGCACCATTGATCTAAACTATTTTTAAGAGAACCAATTTTTATGGTTGCGAGAATCAGTAAAGTGTGACCACTTTATTGTTTAATTGTATTTGTTTTTTTGTAAACGGTGAGGTCTGACCAGGCCTTATTGCATTCAAGTTCATTGTAAATGCCTAGTGTAGCATTCTTCATTCACACATTCAAGCATCATATCTAAATCAGAAGAATGACCAAGTCAGAGAGCAATATTTAGGTGCAGGTTACTTTATTAAGGCCAGGCATCCATCTGACTATTCAGCCTGCACTTAGTTTATATCAGTATCAAACAATGGAATGATTGATATTCATGACTTACATCTACTAGCTAACAAGGTGGTCCTCTTATTCCTGGCCTGGCATACCTTATTTTAATCTTATGTGTGCCATTAGCTAACTTAATTGCTTTGGTTGGCAACCTAGTCTGGTTTGCTTGTCAAATTTGAATAGATTAAGACTAACCTAATATAATGGTATAATAATCATCAAAAGCAAGTTAGGCAAAATTGAGGGTGGATAGAAGTTTCATGGTCTAGATTGGAAAGACATTTCTGTGTACAGACATGAAAATGGGCCAGAATGAAATTGGCATTTCTCTTTACCAAAGTTACCTACCGTATTGAAGAAATAAATATTATGTCAAGTCATCATATGAAAAAGATAGACTGTTTTCTTCTTTGACTGCATGTAGGTTTAATTCCCCCTCCTACCCCCCCCCTTAAAAACAACAGCGCAACAACAACAACAACATCACAAGTGTAAACGTTGGTCAAAATCATTCTACATCAACATGTACTTTTTTGCTCTGATTAGGTCTACAAAATGACATCGGATCCCAGAGGAATAGCAGTTATCATAAACATCAAAAACTTCTACAATAACCCGGATTTGGAGGAGAGGACGGGAACAGACATAGACTGTCTCAACTTAAAATATATGTTTGAGGAGCTCAAGTTTGAGGTTTCCGTACATAAGAATTGTACAGCCGCAGTGAGTACATGTAGCCATAATACAATGGACTTTTATCATGTGTTATTTTCATGCATACTGTTGTAAACCGATCTCTCATATTTATATTTATTTTTTTATTGAAAAAGAAGACTACCCTTTCCTGTGTGGAGTTTGGGATTCTTTCTCTTCCAATTAAAGCCAAACTAGCAAATTATTCAACCACTTTCGATACACAATCCGATGCTGAGGGGTTTCAATTTGCAATAAATTCAGATGGATCAGAAGTGTTTATGTGAAGGGAAATGATGACCTATAAATCTTTATTCGCTTATGACCTAGCTAATTGTCTGTATTTTGTTTGTGGTAAATACCATTAACTTGCAGTTGTAATATTGAGTGTAAACTGCATTTGATTTGGTGACATTTTTTCTTTTGTTATACCTAGTACTCAAAGAAAAATGAAGTAATGTTTCATCCATTCATTGATATTTCTGTTATAGAATTTGTTCTTGATAAAAGTAAATTGGGTGAGCCTTTGTGATTTAATGATTTAAGTGACACTTTTTCTCATAATTTATATAAATTTCATATAACATGACACTTTCATTAATGTTGTAAATGTTTTGCAGGAAATTGAGGAAATCATTGAACAGCAGAGGAAAGACAACCACTCCAGGTATGACTGCTTCATTATAGCCATCCTTAGCCATGGGGAGAAGGGGGACGCTATTTATGGCACGGACAGCAATCTAGTGACCTTACAGTACATTATGGATCAGTTTGGTTCTGATCGATGCCCGACTTTGAGTGGAAAGCCCAAGCTCTTCTTCGTACAAGCATGTCGAGGAGGTAAGTTTAAATTGTAAGTCTTTAGGCACAAACCCATCTAGTTATTTATTATCTTGCATTATAAATATCTATAAATCTCTAACAAACTATTTCTAACAACATATCTCATCCATCAAAAATGTGTTTGTTTTAATGACTTGATACCTCGATTCATCTCTATATTATATTTTTAGTATCAAATATCAAATCCAATATATTTTTTGCTTTTTCTTGTACGAATGCCAAAGATCTAATTATCAACTAAACAAACTATTCATTGAAGCTACTGAAATTTTTGGATTTTGTTTTGCCTCCGCCTATTAAAGGTGGTGCCAGAGGCATACATTTTCGTGTTGTCCTTTGTTGCGTCTGTCCATCTCGCTTTCTCGTTATCGAGATTTCTCAAGAGCTCCTTAACCCTATTTTAACTGGGCTATTTCAGACTAGGTTTTTACTGAGGGTCAATTTGACCCCCCCCCCCCCCCAAGATCTCAGCCATTTCATAGCCGATTGCCGCAAAAATTTGCATGCATGTCAAGTGAAGTGTATAGAGTACTATGGTGATTTCAATTTTTTGAAAAATTGACTCATTTGCATATTTATGGTAATTTATGCAAATAAGGTCCTAACATTCACATTTTTATCCATAAATCATATATTATTCATATTTAAGCATTCTTTTTCACTAAATATATTTGTTAGACCATATGGAATCATAATACGATATAAAAATTGGAAGAGCCAGGTTATTCCTTATGTTATCTCTTGTTTTGATAATTTCTTATGTATTTCAATGTTTTGGATTTGGATAGCATGCTGTTAATGATCCTTGCAAACAAAATTTTTACCAGTTAAATTTGTGATAAATGATATTGCCTTGGGTTGATCTTTTAAAGGTGTTTTTTTCTTGTATTCATGCTAGAGAAACAAGATAAAGGAGTACCGGTCCTTGCAGCAAATGGGGCTGAAACATTCCAAGAAGCTGCTGGTGATAATTGTCCTCTGATGGATGATGAAAATCTAGCCCAGATGGAGGAAGATTCCGCTGATAATCCTGCATCCAACCGTAAAAAGATGCCCTGTCAGAGCGACATGCTTCTTTCATATTCAACTGTGCCAGGTGAGATCTTGTAAGCTCCATATGGTGAACCGCTCTTTTGTGTACAGGTCCACTAAAAATGAAAAGTTTGATTCGTTTAATTGAACTTTGAAGTTTGGAATACCTGTAAGAAAAAAAGATTCAGATTTGAATAGGGGTCCTTATCATAGGAGAAAAGGAGCACTTTTCCAAAGTAGCTGTATAGAGAAAGTCTTTGGAAACATGGTGTTTCATCCATTTTTCACGTTTTGCACAACCTTTCATCATATATCATCTGTTTAAAGATGAAGTTGAGTTCTGGCCATGTGATTGCATTGTGAAAGAAACGGTGTGGAATCGCCCAGAAAAGGTTGATCATCTAGCATATAAGAATTTGTGTGTATTGCAAGGTTCTGGAAACATCAAAATTATAAGAAATTTGGCCAAGTCTTGGTAAAGTTACAAACACTGTACACAGAAAGATGTATATGGGACTACACGAACACGTGGCATAAAAATCCTACCCCCGAGTTTTACGATGTTACATGAAATATTTAGAATATGAAGGCATTTGAAGAGCCATGCTTTTCGGGGAACATGTCTTATCTGATGTTCTTCCACATTTGCATAATAAGAATGATAACGCTCACAAATTATTTTTCACCTCTTCCCAGAACTCATCCTTCTCTTTAAAGAAAAGTGAGAGATAAATGAATGGTAGGCTATATGGGTGCCACTAAAAATCAATAATTTGAGACGCAACAAAAATTATATTTGCAACGTGGATCTCTATATAGTATTCTTTGTCTAGCCTTGTGTGTTTGAAGGCATCTCAAATGTTTACGCAAATTTACCTACCTTTTTTTCTTCTGTTTATCCCTTCTAGTGTTAATCTGGGGGTTAAAAGCTTTCTATTGATGTAATTATCTCAATATTTGGGATCGTATATATCTCGAAATATTTACACTTGTATTTCTGCTCTAAAATCTTCTGCGGGAATAATACTACAAGATGTTGTGTTATACAATTGATTTTGGTGGTGTTTATTTCTTATAGGATACAAATCATGGAGAAATAGAAAAAGAGGAAGCTGGTACATTCAAGCTTTGACAGAAATCATCAACCAAAACGGCAGAGAAGAGAATCTTCTCTCTATGCTGACTAAGGTATTACAATACCCAAAGCTCGTAATCTGACATTTACTCTGGCTTCAAGTGCTCTGGGCTTTATTTCATGGTCATATTGTGGTTGAGTGGTTTAATCACTTGACTGAAACTGAAAAGGCCAAGGGTTTGAGCCACATCACAGCACTTATGTCCTTGAGCAAGACATTTTATCTACATTTTACACCCAGATGTTAATTGGGTACCTGATATTGTGTATGGATTAGCATGTGGGCACCTAGTCGAAATGCTCCCCATGGAGTGGATAATGTGCTCTATATTTGCAGAATAGTAATTGGAATCCAGTCTAGTAAAAAGTCACTAAAGGCTCTTGCCATATTTCATATTAAGTTTTGAAATGGACTTAGCAGTCTCTATATACATTACCAATAGCATGATTTCTATTATGTTATTATACAGATATACACTGTCTTGAGAGGTTCTGGTTAAAACTATGCCCAAGAGGTGACTCCAATAGTACTATGTTACTTTTGGAGTCACCAAGGCCCATAGTTTTAACCAGTACCTCGAATAGAAGGCATGTTATATTTGTTTTATAACCTGCATCAAAATTTATATAAATTACCATTTTTGGGAAAAAATAACAAAAGAAAAAGTCAATTTTTATCTAAAAAGATATTAAATATTTTGTTTTCATTAAATTAAGATTTGTTTTAAATAATCACCTTTTTTTTCAACTCCCAAATAGTACTTTTTCAGAGCAACCTTAAAATAGTTGAAATATTTCTGGTCATGAGCTCTCAACCAAACAAAAACCAAGACATTTTTGATGCATGATATAATGATTTATATTGATCATGACATATAACTATGTAATCTAGGTGTGTACTTGATTTTACTGTGTTTCAATGGAAAATGAAGTAAATCAACAAACTGAGCTGGAAAAAAGTGGCCACCTGAACATGCTTCAATAATTTGTGTTTGCAAAGCAAAATTTCTTTAAGTTTTAACCTCATTGGTGTTGTGTGTTCCTTCTCTTTTCAATATCCCCTTCAGATCAACGACAGAGTAGCACAGGATTTTACGACTCGTTGCGTGAATCATTATAAGCAGATTCCAGCCTTCACCTCAGCACTTAGAAAGGAGTTCAAGTTCTTCCCAGAGCAATAAGAGTTATAGGGTGCCCCGATCAGACCTCACTGATAACGATAATGATATAGCATACCTGCCAACCATCCCGACTTAATCAGAATATTCAGATTTTCTCGATTTTTAGGACCTGAAAATAGGAATATTTTTTCACAATTCTAAATGACCAAATATACACTGTATATTTTTATAAAATACATTATATATTTTTTTCTTTTTCTCAAGCCAAATTTTGCTTGTTTTACTATGTGCCGCGATTTGAGACTTCGCATTTTGCGTGCGTTCAATGGCTGCATGATCGAGCAGCGAACTTGTATTCACTTTTTTGTACAGATTTATAACGCATTTTCAGTTACACTGCCGCTGCATACATGGCCATGATAAGGCTGTGCGATCGCCTGTTCAATACACACGTACATGTATGCCTGTACCCCTGCAGGGGCTCTGCCCCCTTGACCCGCTGGGGTCTACGCCCTGACCCTCTCTAAGGGTACACATTTCTTATTTTCACATGTTGGCTGGTATGATATAGTTGTTGTCTGTAGTTTTGCGAGTGAGTGTTTGAAATACAACCATATGACATAATGCCAATTATAATGTCTGGAATATGTATTACTCAAATATACATGTAACTAAATCTTGGCAAGTTTTATTTCTGAAATATAGTACTGAAAATGTTCAATTTTAAACAATAATACAAAGATAGAGGAATAGTGAAATTTAACTGATATAAGTAGATGATATATTTTGTGAAGGAGGCACTTTAGAAAGAAGTTCAGTTTGTTCAAGTTTAAATGACCTTTATATGCCCATGCCCACATCGTTTTTTTATGAGGTAGTTGATTCTCTTGCATGGACAATTTCAACTAGAGACCAAATATTTTTTATGAACTACAGTACCTGTATTTATTTTATTAGTATGTTATTGCCACATTCCTGAAAATTGATGTATTTGTTCATTTTAATCAAGTGATGGTTATGCCAAAAGAGTTTAATGTAATTGTACATTAGGTCTTTCTGTTTCTTATGTTTAAATTTTGTATCATGAATTTAAGATAAATATAAATTTGTATATTTATATGCCATTGAAACAAACATTTTATGAAATAGAACACAATACTCACTGAAAAATCAGTACTAGACCTACATGTTATTGAAAGACTTCATGTATGTATAATCTGCATATTGATGCATAATTATTTTCACTATTTATTGCATATTATATATGCAAATACTTTTTAAAAGGCAATAACTACTGGCATACAGCTGAACAAGGCTTGTGGTTTCTGAAAACATCTGAATACAGTACTAACAATTCTCTTCATCTAAATGCATATTTGTATTTGATATGCTATTGGAACTACGAGTAACAGGGTTTCATTTTTTATATGTATTGTATGTTTTCAACAAGAATAAATAACTATGCATTGTATTCATCTTAAATTCAATTTTGTATTGTATTTGTCTTGTTTTATATTTTATGGCTACCCCATCAAAGATCACAAGCCGTGCGCTTTCAGGAAATTTCATGTCCTTCCTCCTTAGATACATTTTATTTTTCGTTTGTTTGTTTGATTGTATAAATCTTTATAAATATTGAATTGTGATTTTGAGATCTTTGATATTAATGTTGTACGACATATACTGACATTTTCTGGCCTGTTGCCTTTATACATTGTACAAGCAAAACTTGTCTGTCAACGTTATAGTGACACTACTCGGAGGCTGTATTTTGTAAGTCCTGTGTCATATAGGACACAGAAAATGATATGTAGCTTATTTTTCATGTATTTCATCCAAAATAAAGAATTACTCCTCTTGAAGCGGGACTACACTACATGTACTTGTAGCTACTTGCGCCCTCTATACAGCCAACAATGTCTCGGCAGTACCCATTTATCCCCATGGTCCCCTTTTCTTATGTTAATTGAGAGATGATTTGATGAGATAACCACCTGTCAGTGACCACACAGAGAGGTCTAATCCCCCCTGGCCAAACTAGTACAGATAGGCTTTAATTAAGGCTCGTTCGGATATGACGTGGCAAAACCGCAATTAAAAAAAAAAATGTAGTATGATGTATAATGTAATACACTTCAGATTTCTGTAAGGCCTAAAATGAAAAACTTGTTGTATTGCCCTTTAGGTGCCAAAACATGGTTCGGTCGGTTGGAAAAGTTTTGTTTTTTTTTAACTTTTTTTTTTGTCACCCTCCTTAGGCCGATATTTTTCAGATTTGAATGTTTAAATTTGTTTCTTCTTTTTTTCCGCCCTCTTTTCGCTGATATTTCTCAGTTTTTAATGCTTTAATACATGTGTTACGTCTTCATTCCATTGATATCTTTTTCACCTCATACACATCCATAGTTTGCACGAGTGAGAATTTTGGAATAATTTGATTTTATGCATTTATATCCTATTTAAACAAACAAAATACAAATTTTTTTTATTCATAAATAAAAAAAAATCTAAAAAACGGTTCAATTTTTTTTTTTTTTTAAATGCCGACCGTAGATTTTCATATTTTTGGGTCGGTCACAAAGGGTAATACAACAAGTTTTTATTTTGGCCTAATTATAACACAGAGCTCAATGATTACGCCCAAGTCCTTTGTTGTGCGCAGTTGCCAATCATTTATGCTATTAAGAAAAAAATGCTGCAGCTTTTTTGCGGCGGTTTACTGTGCCATATCTAAACAAGACTTGATAGTACTCTACCATTACCCCTGGAACATACACTATGAATATGACAGACAATGAAAGCGGACAAAATATACAGTTCCTTAGGTAGACAAAGGAACATCCCTTCACTGCTATTATGTAAAAATGTGTAGAACAGGTGTCACATGCATATTCACCTGTTCTACACATTTTACATAATAGCAGTCAAGGGATGTTCCTTTGTCTACCTGAGGAACTGTATATTTTGTCCGCTTTCATTGTCTGTCATGTTCATAGTGATACATCCATGATCCATTAACCATTAAAGATGAAGTTGAGTTCTGGTCACGCGATTGCATTGTGAAAGAAACGGTGTGGAACCGACCAGAAAAGGTTGATCATCTAGCATATAAGAATTTGTGTGTATTGCAAGGTTCTGCAATCATCAAAATGATAAGAAATTTGGCCAAGTCTTGGTAAAGTTACAAACACTTGCACAGAAAAATGTATATGGGACTACACGAACACGTGGCGTAAAAAGCCGGCCCCCGATTTTTACGATGTTACATGCATATTTAGAATATGAAAGCATTTGAAGAGCCATGCTTTTCAGGGAACATGTCTTAACTGATGTTCTTCCACACTTGCATAATAAGAATAAGTAATGCTCACAAATTATTTTTCACCTCTTCCCAGAACTCAACCTTCTCTTTAACCTTTTGACTACTAAATTCTCCTATTGAGGACTACCGGTAGTTTATTTTTAGGCCGAAAACTATTCTCTAGATTCTCTAAATTCTTTGAATTTCCTATTTTTTTTAAAGCCCCACTGTCCTACTTGTAGCTACTTGCTCCCTCTAGATAGAAAACTTCCCCAATCGGTGCCTGTTGTTCCCCCATGATCCTCTTTTTGTTATGTTAGTCGAGAGCCGAGTTGATGAGATGGCCACCTGTCAGTGACCTGGCTGGATGGTCTAATCCCTTCTGGCCCAGTAGTATATCGACGGTCTTTAATATCTCCTCATAATTCTGTTAAGAATTCTTCCAAAATCATATTGCAGTCAGCTAGCTAGATTGTACAGACTGGCTTAGTTTTGATTTGGAGAATATGTGATTAACCCTGCTAGAAGCTGTATAAAACTCTTTTCTTTGTGACCGAGATGAGATCACTACAAAGCACTACCGGTATATAAACTGAGCAGGGTAATTTACACATTTCATTTCCTGTTTCACGTACACATACATTGACCTAGCTTTTCCACAAAGTGCACACTATATAAGGAAGTAGGATATGGCTTAAAAGTCGATACTAATGTATGCAACACAGCATACATGTATACAGTAAACACATGTTAGATACAAAGGTAGGCAGAAGTGCACTATTAAAGGCTTGTTCAGATATGGACGAGTAAACAGCCGCCACCACAAAAGCTACTACACTATGATTATTATGTATGAACTAAATATACAAACTAAATATCCAAAATTGTGACACATTATGTAAATGTTCATTGTAAAGGGCAATTTTCCCCAAAAATAAGTATCTGCTTTTCCTGTCGAGTGAGGGGTTTCCCTACAACTCATTTTCAGTAAAATGCACCCTCATCTCATTCGACTACATGTATTTATTCCAATTTATTTAATCGATTGGCATTTTATATGAAAGTATATGCTCCCAATATTTACATGGGTCACCAAAGTCAACACAAGGTCGATTGGGTATTGGAATAAATTGAGTTTGGTTTTTTTCAAGCCTACCAAGAATGAAATTTGTATTTTAGACAATCAAAAAGCACTCTCAAAATTTAATGTAAATCAACTGTAGTTAAAAATTACTTTTCTTTCTTATTAATTTAAATATTATGGAGAAAATGTCCCCACTGTAAAATATGCTGTAGTACATGTATGTTCAATTATAATTATAGCCTTGTTAACAGAGACTGTATTGAACCGCCTTTTAAAAAATAGGGCATTGGCCCATGGCCAATTATAACTTCATAACCACTGTGTACTTCCGAATGTTACCATAAATAGAAGTGAATATACACAAAGGGGCCTTTGTTGGGAGAATTTTTTCTTTTTCTTTCATTCCAACCCCGTGCCATTTATGTACATGTAATATTGTCACTTTTTTTCTTCTTTTAACGAGGCGATTTACAATGTCAAGGGGGAACAAGGATTATAGACTTGAACTCATATACTGTAGCTCAGTGGAGGAAAAGTTTGGACTTTGAAAAAGGACTATAAAAACTGAACTTGAAATAGTATTAGTGAAATATAATGCAAATAGCTATTTATGTCCCATTGTCTGTTTGGAGCCGAAAGGGTGTTAAGTTGTGAAAGGCACCAACGTATGAAGTT